GACCATTGTCTGATCCGGAGTGTGGTGCCACTCACGCTCCCTTCGCGGTTGCGTTCTGCAGGTTGCCGCCGTGTTTGGCATTACAGGTCGGCGGATTGGGACGGAATGCGGTCTTTCTTTGCATCCTACCCATGGGGGCGGGTTGCTTCTCGCCGGACGATCCCAGCGCTGTTGCTGACTCTGTCACTGATGTGGTGCTACAGGGAATGGAACTATTTATTCCATCATCTGTGGTACCCATCGGAGGCAGATCTCAGCCTTGGTTTGGTCGCTCCTGTAAGACTGCATTACGCAGTAAGCAGGAGTGTTATCAAGCCTGGGCTGCGGCTTCGGCGACTCGGGATGTAAACACCAGCACACTTAAAAAGAAGTATAACTTCGCCTCCAGGTCCTTCAAAAGAGTTATTGCCAAGGCAAAATCAGAGCACATAGGCAGAATTGGCGAGAAACTAGTTCGCCTTCCTTCGGGAACCCGTGCATTCTGGTCTCTCGCCAAGGCTGTCCAAGGGAATTTCTGTAAGCCATCACTACTATCTCTGCACAGGGAGGATGACTCACTGGCCCATGACGCAAAAGACAAAGCCGACCTTTTAGGCTCCCTTTTTGCGTCCAACTCGACTCTTGATGACGGGGGGAAAACACCGCCGACCATTCCGCGGTGTGAGTGCTCCATGCCGGATGTGCTGTTCTCACAGCGCTCGGTTCGCAAAGCATTGCTCTCCCTGGACATCCAGAAGTCGAGTGGGCCTGACGGAATCCGCCCAATTGTGCTGAGGACGTGTGCTCCGGAGTTGGCACCGGTCCTAACGCGTCTTTTCCGGTACTCCTACTCCCAAGGCGTAGTCCCGAATTCATGGAAGACAGCTTTTGTCCACCCGATCCCTAAAAAAGGCGACCGCTCAGACCCATCCAACTATAGGCCTATCGCGATCACCTCCTTGTTCTCCAAAATAATGGAATCCATTATTAACTGCCAGCTCATCCGGTACCTTGAGGATCACCAGCTGATTAGTGACCGCCAATACGGTTTTCGTCGGGGTCGATCAGCTGGTGATCTTCTGGTCTACCTGACCCATAGATGGGCGGAGGCAGTAGAGTCCAAGGGGGAGGCGTTGGCCGTTAGTCTGGACATTGCGAAGGCCTTCGATCGGGTTTGGCACAAAGCGCTTCTTTCGAAGCTCCCTTCCTATGGGCTTCCCGAGAAATTATGCAATTGGATCACCAGCTTTCTTGCAGATCGGAGCATCAAGGTCGTTGTAGACGGTGCATGCTCTGACTACAAGCCTATTAACGCTGGTGTTCCACAAGGCTGCGTGCTATCACCAACGCTGTTTCTTCTGCATATCAATGATATGTTGCTAATTGGTAGCATTCATTGCTATGCGGATGACAGCACTGGTGATGCTCTATACACCGGCCGTGCCAATATTTCTCGGGAAAACGTCGCTGAGTACCGGAACAAAATTGTGTCTGAAGTCGAGTCTTTGCTGAGCAAAGTCTCGGATTGGGGGCGACTAAATCTAGTCCAGTTTAATCCTCAGAAGACACAAGTTTGCGCGTTTACCGCTAAAAAGAACCCCTTTGTCGTATCTCCTCAGTTTCAAGGCACTCCCCTTCTTGCCTCAGCCAGTATCGGAATCCTCGGAGTCGACATATCGAGTAGCGTGCAGTTTCGTGGTCACTTGGAAGAGAAGGCCAAATTGGCCTCTAAAAAGCTTGGCGTGCTCAGCAGAGCGGGACAGTATTTCATGCCGGCTCAACGCCTGCAACTTTACAAGGCGCAGGTTCGGCCTCACATGGAATACTGTTCCCATCTCTGGGCTGGGGCTCCCCAGTGCCAGCTTCTTCCACTTGACCGCATCCAGCGCAGAGCGGCTCGAATCGTCGACGACCGAGTCCTTTCCGATCGGCTCGACTCATTGGCACTGCGAAGAGATGTTGCATCTCTTAGCATTTTCTTTCGCATTTACCATGGGGAGTGCTCTGAGGAATTGTTCGGATTAATCCCAGCCGCCAAATTTCACGAACGCACATCGCGGCAGAACTCCCGATACCATCCACACCATCTGGATGATTGGCGGTCCACCACTGTGCGATTTAGAAGATGTTTTCTTCCTCGCACAACTTCCTTGTGGAATAGTTTACCACCAGCGATTTTTCCGGACCGATACGACTTAGAGACCTTCAAGAAAAGAGCCTATTCCTTTTTAAAAGGCCGGAAAAGCATCTGCAATTCCCCTGGTGTTGCGGTTGTTCATGGGCGGCGGTAGTCACTTACCATCAGGTGAGCCGCATGCTCGTTTGCCCCCTCTCCTATAAAAAAAAAATACAGGGCCACTTTTTCAACTCAAAGAAACTGCCTATTAAGCTCGTTCGCATTATTAAATACGGACGCTACCGAAGTAGAAAGTATTATAATGGGACTGAAAGAAACAAGCGCAGTTGGTTGGGATGGGATACCCACTAATATATTAAGAAAACTTAGAAAAATTCTAGTACCACCATTAATACATATTTTTTGAATTTGCCTCTCTGAATGTATTTTCCCAGATTGTTTAAAAAGCCATTGTCGTTCCAGTACATAAATCGGGGGACAAGAAAAACCTTTCCAATTATCGGCCTATCTCAATACTCTCATCTACGTCCAAAATATTAGAAAAAAATTAACAATGGATTAATGAATTATTTACAAAGTAAATCAGCAGCAGTGGACAGTTTCAGACCAAAACTGTCCACTGCTGATGCTGTGCAGTTAATGACTGATTACGTCTCTCAAGAATCAGATAAAGGCAACCAATCAATTGGCATTTTCCTTGACCTACCAAAAGCTTTTATACAGTTTCTATTCCCATCCTATTAAATAAGCTAGTGAGCATAGGTATTCGAGGTAAACAGAATCAACTTTTTGCGAACTATTTAGAAAATCGATATCAATGCATAAAAATTCAATAGGTTATTAGCTCTGAACAAAAAGATACTCATTTTGGCATGCCTCAAGGAAGTGTATTAGGACCAACCCTATTTATGACCTTTGCAATCTTGAACTTAACTCAGGTAAAATAATATCTTACGCAGATGATACCGTGCTCCTTTTTTCCGCAAATACAGTAGACAAGGTTTATTTATGTGCACAGCAAGGTTTTGACAGGGTTAATAAATGGTTCCAACAAAAGATATTAACACTGAATACGGACAAAACCAAATATATTCATTTTTCTATGCGCAGCTCAATACAGCATATAACCATTCCAGAAAGGACCATGCCCATATTCGTATGGAGCTGAAAGTCAGCAATACCATGCAATGCCCAAATTGCAGCTCTATGTCATATGATAACTTTTTAACAGTATTTATATGATATATAGATTTAATGTCATATAAAGCACCGATTCAAGAGATATTGGACATTAAACATGATAATTTCGTACTGGTTTTTTATACAGTGAAAGAATGAGTGACAGTCATTTTAGTTTTTTTTGGAATGTTTATGACTTGGAGCTAAGTCTTTTGAGCCATTACTTCATTAGGATCATTTAGATCATTATTTAACTCGTTGATGATTCAAATGTAAAATAATAATCGATATTGGAATCGATTATTTAGATCAATTGACCAACAAAAAAATGATTCCTTTTTCGAAGATTTTATTTATCATGCCAATTATTTAGCCCCGAACTAAACAAAGCCTAAGATTTTATAATTTAAGAGACTGTCAATGAGGGATAGGTGAACAAACAAATAGTCCCATCAATGGCATTGGTAAAAAACTAGTCTGTCTCTGGCTTTTGATAACAAAAATGAATGCTTAACTGGGTCATGTTTTTTTCATCTCATGACGTTTATTATAAAATCATATTTTTATTTGGTTTTGTTGTAAAGCAGTATACTATTATTCGATTATTTATTAATCACTTTTATGACTAATATCAATCATGTTGAGTTTTACATGGGCCAAAGGACGTGATTCCAGACCGTAATTAATAAAGCATTTTTTTTTTATTTATTAGAGCAATCTTGTAATATACTTTATCTGGGCATTCCCGGGAGCACCGATGGGCATTGTCTTTTATGCAGATAAATGTTGCTCAGTCGCAGTCTAATTGTAACTGCCCCGTTATTTTTAATACAAAAACCATTAGATACCTTGAAATAATTATAGATTCTACTCTTACATTTAAAAATCACATAGACCACCTCTGCAATAGAGTCCGTAAACTTGTTTTTTTTTAAAGATTCGGTCTTTTGTTGATATTAAGGAAGTAAAGCAAGTATATTTCGCATTATGTCAATTAATTCTCACCTATTGTATAACCTCATGGGGAGGAGTAACTAAAACTACACTGCTACCACTGGAACGCGCTCAAAGAGCTGTATTAAAAGTCGCAACATTTCGCCCTATCCTATTCCCGTCCCATCCATCTCTTTTATAAATCCTATAATGTCCTCTCAGTGCGCCAGTTATTCGTTATGAGTACGTTACTAAAACAGCACTTAAAGTTGCCCTACAGAAGAGAGGTCACTGATAAAAGACGGAAAGATAAAGTCATTGAAACTAACATTAGAATAAGGCATTCTTTCACGCATAGATTTTTTACATTCCTTGGCCTTTTTCTGTATAATCAAGTAAATGCAATTTTGTAAATTTATCCATTAAAAATGGCAGATTGTAAAAATGTAATTCGGACACATACAAAGTATGTCATACGATGATACGGAAAAATTGCTTATTGTTTTAAGCTAGTTAAAATCTTAAGTAAATTAATGATAATATATTTTACCAAATTAACCGTAATTAGTTAGTAATTCATTTTATATAAGAAACAGAAAATATTTGTATATGTATCTATTAGCACATACACCTGAGATACAGGTTTATCTTAGTTCAGGTTCCTGTTATTGTAGACTATTTTACATTAAAACATTATTTGAATTAATTGTACAGTTTCTTGAAATAAATTATTATTAATATTATATGTAGTTATGACAATTAATTTAATTACCTGTTCTAACTGCACGTAAAATTTTACGCTTTCTAGTTGTTTTTATGTTCTTCTTGTTATTTCCTGCCTTATACCTTCTGGTGAAATATGTTAAAGGTTTATCATCTTCAGTATTAAAATCATATGACCCTGTAGCATCAGATCTTTTAATAGCTGAAATAATGTTCCTGGTCTTTTTTGAATTAATTTTCTTCTTTGCTACATTGGTTTTCCTTACATTTAATCTTTTCACACGTTTATTAGTAATCCTTGCAGATCTTAATTTCATACAGTGTTTCTTAGGTGATGATTTTGATATTTGAAGAACTGAATGGTTTGGTAATATATCTTGAGGTTTTCCCAACGGTGTCACTTGATTTAAAATACCGGGTAAAGATGTTGAAGGATTTTCTTGTAATCTTTCTAGCAACACAATAGGTTGCATATGTGTATGGACATCTATAAAAAAATATAATTGAATAAACATAAACTAAAAAAGTATCTTTACTTTTTCGTTTAGATTTTCTACCAAAAAGAATATTTAACCTTGATTAGAATATGTTAAATTAGCAAACTTATACACTTATAAAAATATGAAGACAAGTTACACTCACTTAAAAAGCAGACAATGTCCAGAAGGCTTTTAGCCGAACTATTGTTACGAAAAATATTGTTGGTTTTGTGGTCAGTCGTTTCCTTTGGAGATAGCAAGTCAGTCTTACGCTCAACTGTTAGATTACTGACATTGCTGTTGGTGTTGTTATTCACTTTTGACGGGATGTATGCACCCTGCGCGAATTTTCGCTGGGCTTGCACCTTCCTGCGGTGAACAGAATACAATTTATAATGTTAGTAGTACACATATTAATTTTATTTTTATGTTATGGCAAACCAACAGCTTACAAATCCTAAGTAAATAACATGTTTAATTACAAGAAGCCAATAATAGGTTCTCACTAATAAATTATAATAATAATAATAATAATCTGCGAACGGGTTAATCCCAGTCAGCCTCTCGGGTCATCTGAGGCGACTGGGACTCCGCGACGGACCGCTCCAAGCTCAAAAGCAGAAGGCGGTGCTCCTCGATACCGCCCGCATCGTCCGCCGGTTTCTTTCCCTTTCCCCCTAACCCTTGGCCGTTTGGTTTCCCCTGCCAAGGGCTTCCATCTGGTTGGGTTTTTATATATTTATGTATTTTTTATGTATTTATTCTATTTTATTGATATTTATGTATGTTTATATATTTCGTTTACAATATATATTTAAACAACCCAACCAGATGAGAAAACTTTATAGATAACCCCAATAATAATAATAAACACATAACATTCAAAACACAATAGCTGAGAAAATTTGTAAATATGCTGAGTTAAAAGAATAAATTGGAAGAATATGGAAACAAGAAAAAGTATATATAGTGTCCATAGTCATCTCAACCACTGGAGTTGTCCCAAATAATATGTTCAATAACCTAAAACTTATAGAATTAACAGAAAACACATATATAACCCAAAAAAGCCGCAATTTTAAATACTTGCAGGATAGTGAGAAAGTTCCTGCAGTTGGAGGAAAATGAAATAGTTTAAAGTCCCACAATCCCTACATCTACAACAAACACATACCACACACTGTAATTTACTTAGCTAAAGGTCCGTAAATAAAGTTATTATCAACTTTTTCAAAAAGGTTGAGCAAATTTAAGCTTTTCCGTTACATTTTCATTTACAATTATATATTTATACAGCCCATCCAGATGAGAAAACTATATAGATATACCTCATAATAATAATAATAAGTTCTTTATTTCCAAAAGGTAGTACAACCAGATATTTGCTTAACAATTAATAAAGCTAATTTGGTACATATATTTAAAACATAGCATCTGCAGCCGAACTAGGAAACTTATGCATCAGCTGTCAGCGCCATATCCCCATCGTTAATTTACATAAATATTAGGATGCAAGCAGTAAAAGTTAATAAATAATATTATCTAACGAGTTTGTACTTAATGCTAACATAACCTAGGTACAATGAAATTTAATGAATCACATGTTATGTTCCATATGCTAAGTTATTACTTGTTTGGTACAAAAACAAGAAAATAATTTATACTAATAATGTCGTTCCTCTCACCTGAGACGTGTAATGTATGACTGCAAGAAGTATTTGTGTAATGAGTGTAATGGTATGAGCAGTTTAAGGAGAGGAATGTGTGTGTATGTGCGTGTGTAAGTTATATAAGAATTTATGTTTAATTCTGAATACTAAGGTTTTCAGTTTCATTATAATTTAATTTCAATCTAATTAAAATGTACAACATAAGTGAATCAGAACAGAAAGCAGGATTATATGCACTACACAATATTTTTTTTATTACGCACGCACAAACTCTTGCACCTATGTGCGATGCCTCCCGTGTTTGCGATGTCTTGTGTGTCCGAATCAATTCACAAAATTTGTGCCTACTATTTACTTTTTTAAAGACGCTCACTACTAATCATAGAAATATACATTTCTTATATCTGTGTTATAATGCTTAAGTTGATAACTACACGACCCGAATTATACGATTCCAATTTTCCCTTCGTACTTTTAACGGACTTACGACGAGGATCGTCATAATAAATAATATTAATAAAATATTTTTTCATGACTCATTATTATGGCGTATTTATAAAATTGGAATAAACTACTTACAACTAAACCACTTGTATTTTTAATTCATTCATTGAAGGTTATACAGGTTTACGCACCAACCTCGACACATCACTAGAATGTATGAGGATATCTCAAGAGCCATTCATTACTCCCAAACCCACAATATTAGGTGTTAATGGGAGACTTCAACGTAAAACTAGGCACATGAGATAACGGTGAGTTGAAAGTAGCAACGGAACGCAAGAGCGGCTAGCCGATTTCATGGAGAAAGAAGAACTCTTTACGATGAACTCTTTCTTCCAAAAGCGGCCCCACAGAAAGTGGACCTGATCGAGACCTGACGATTCGACAAAAAAGAAGATTGATTTCATTATGACGACCAGACGACAACTGTTCAGTGATGTCTTAGTGATGTCTCAGTGATCGCGAGGGTGAAAACCGGCAGCGATCACCGAATGGTGAGGCACACTGAACCTAAACGTTAAGAAACATCGAAAACCGTTGAAGCGGGCTATCGCCGGACTGACCCGATTGAGTACATAATTTCTATAAAAACTTAAAAAACGCCGTCTTAATTTCTAAAATTGTGTAGCACCCGCGACGATTAAGACCGCTTAGAATCTTAAAATATTTTAAAAAATTATTGATTTAAGTAATCAAAACAATGATCCAGTAAATTACAAATATTGATATTATGAATGTATTTGAGTGATTCCCAGTTAAGTATTTTCATTGTAGTTTCAACTCTTAGTGATTTTTAGAGGTGTGTTCGCAAATAATTATGATAGAGTCAAAATTATACAATCGTGTTTTTGAACAAGCAAGTTCAAGATAAAAACATGAATTTACCTATATTGGCGGATGCGGATGGCACGCCATCGATTACTTTTGTGTATGGCGTATGACGCGAGTCGTGTCTTTTTAAAAATCGTTATAACTCGTTCAAATTGCTTTTTTGGAAGATTTATCCAGAACAAAATATTCATTATTTTGCAAGTAGTTCATGCCTACAGCTTCGTTTCTAAATATTTTGAAAATTTGAAATTTTTAGGGGTTGACAACCTTTAACTTGTACATGGTACTCTTTTTACTTTGTGGGTTTTAAATCATGTTGTATAAAAATAGTCTAATAAGTAACAAATAATAGCACTCTTTGCGATCGCTCACAAACTAAAGTTGTAAATAAATTTCTGGAAAACAAGTCTCCTGTTAAAAAAACAATGCGTTTGTCTTATTGTTTAATTTTGCTTAAAATGCTTGAACTATCGTCTTATTACTATCATATGGCCAAATAGACCTACGAAGTACCATGTGCTCTGGTGATATGGTATAAGGTTTATTTTTGCTTGAAACAGTTCGAAACCGTTCATGCATAGATAAATCCTTCTCCAGTCTTTTATCAATCCGCCGCCGTATAGCGCTGGCGTTTTTTTTTTTCCTTTTGCAAATACTTGTTTTGCTATTCTTACTAATTAGTCGTTTTCAGATCGACTTTACTTTTACATTTGTATAGCATTAATTAATATTTAACATTTGTAAATATCAATGAATCATAAACCTTATTTTTTTCCAAATTAAGGTTCTTCATTGTTTGATATTTACAAATGTTATTATTAGGTGAAAATTTAATTTAATAAAAACCAAGGTTTCTAGGGTGATTTAGCTGTACCTACTTATATAAATGATTATTTTATAAAACAAAAAATAGTACAAAAGGTTTGTAATCTCTGCATAAAAAAAGTCACTCTCGATTTTAAAGAAAACACGTAAAAAAACACGTCAAGTCACGTTTATGTCAAGTAAACTTAATTAGGTCTAAACAAGTGAAAAAACCATAAAAAAGGACATTACTTTTACACATGGCTGATGGCACAAAAGGCGTGTCATGAAATATTTGTTCGCCGCCACAGCTAAAAGTTGTCGAAAATCGGTGCCGCAACGAATCGGTTAAGTTCGAGAGGTCACGTCTAATGAAGACGGCAAGTTTTCTTCTGGAGTTGTGATTGCGACACTTGAATATTGTGTTTTGCAAACTCTGCAGCCGTTAAACACCAATGATTTGTGTTTTGTACTCTACTTCGGGGAATCCGAATCATGTCTTATCTCTACTCAGTTGAAGAATATGCGGGCATACACCTCATCTACGGAGAATGTGGGTGCAGCGTTAGTGTCACAGCTAGGCTTTATCGAGAAAGGTACCCGAATGCCAAACGCGCTTTCCTCCATGTACATCAGGCGTATTCGGAGGGACGACAACCCCGAGGAGACTACTTCAATACGTGCGATTCAAGAAAATAAGGGAGTACCTAAAACTGTCGTGCATCGCATTTTGAAACATCATAAATACCACCCATCATGTGAAACGAGTACAAAAGTTGCAAAAATAGGGAAGACCTGCAATTTTTGGATAAAATATCATGGACCGATGAAACAACATGCAAAAAAATGGTTATTTCAACATTCATAATGTTCATGGTTGGCATACTGAATACCCACATTTAATGCGAGAGGAGCCATTGCAATACCAATTTTAAATTAATTTGGGGACTGGAATAATAAATGGTCAAATTATTGACTTTTTTCATTTACCGGAGACCTTGAATGATGAAAATTAATTGAATTTCCTCGAAAAAGTTTTGCAAGTCTCATTAGGAGATGTACCGCTCAACATACTTCGAAGAATGTGGTTTCAACAAAGTGGTTCCCCGCGCGTTATGCATGTCCTGTACGGGACTATCTAAATAATGCATTTCCTGATAAATAGATTGGCCGCCTTGGTACAATTGTGTGGCCACATCGTTCTCCAGATCTAAACCCTCATTTTTTTTTTCTGGGGATTGCAACAATTTTAACAGTGGTAGAGCCACGTGGCAGCTTTTGCTGTCGCACGGATGGGCCGGCTCTAACCGGGGTGGTACCACGGCCTCACAGAATACCAGCGTGAAGTAGAGGTTCACCTCTGCGTTTCGCTTGGTGAGTGCAGGTGGCCGGAGGCCCTTTTTACAGGAAATGAGGCATTGCATCTTAGTCCTCACGGGTGACAACGCATCTGCATTTTGATTTGTAATTGAGGATAGATGTAGATGTCTATGGGCCGCAGCAACCACTTACCATCAGGTGGACTGTGTGCTCGTTTGTCACCCTTATCCTATAAAAAAAATAATAATAAAAACGCCAGAAAGTCAGACCAGCTGCTGCAAAAATTAATGAAAAAAGATACGGAAGATTAGTGAAGCAATCTTTTTTTTTAATATGTAGAACCTTCATTCATGCTGAAGGTAAACAATTTAAACATTATTTATAACTTAAAATACTTTAATAAAATCACTGTTTCATTTTAAATTTTATCTCCTAATTTATTATTAGAATTGCTTTTTTAGGATTCCGTACCCAAATGGTAACCATCATCATCATCATTATTACAGCCCTTCACAAGTCCACCGCTGAAAATATGCGGGAGGCATATGTTCAGCAGCGGACTTGTGAAGGAGGACTTTTCCACGTGGTAGAGCCATGCTGCAGCTATATTAGTAGTATAGTTGTAGCACGAATGGGTCGGCACGACCGGGGAAGGACCACGCTCTCACAGAATACCGGCGTAAAATAGCAGCTTAACACTGCTGTGTTTCGTATGGTGAGTGTAGAAAACCGGAGGCCCTTTTTACTGGCTAAGAGACATTCCATCTTAGTCCTCACGGGTGACAACGTATATGCATTTTGATTCGCAAACGAGGATAAATGTAGATGTCTATGGGCCACAGCAACCACTTACCATCAGGTGAACTATGTGCTCGTTTATCACCCTATGCTATAAAAAAAAGGAATGCCACAAAGCACGTTCTTGAGCCACCTACATCTACTTCCTGCATGTTTTACCAGGTCGCTAGGGTCAAAAGGGTCACTAGATGGAGTGACCATATAGTGCGACCCCCCACTATATGGTCACTCCATCTAGTGGAGGGTCGCATCATTGACCCTAGCACAAGAAATTTACATTTTGTGGATTATTAAAATTTTATCTGTTACGGCCCACAGCTGCCCTTGTAAAGGTCGCCTTGGCTAGGGCCCATAGTAGCCTCCTCGACGGGCAGCCGAGGGTTCGGGCCCAAATGGACATGTGGAAACTTAACCTATCATACTACAAAATAAGGAGAAGGCTAGGAAAATAAATGGTACGTACCTGCATCCGAATCTAAGACCACCCCAAGTCTCGGTCAGGCCGTAGGTAGAGTATACGCATGTAAAGTTGTGTTTACTGGTGTGTATATGAGGGTGACCTGGTGTGTATATGAGGGTGACCTGGCCCAACTGAGGTGACCTGGCAGCGCGACGGTTTCCATGCTGCCCCACAATGCTGCATCACTCCAGCAGGCGTCCACCATGGACAGTTTCTTTCTTCATTGTCACTTATTTAGTCTATTAACTTTATTGTACATTTAACTAACTTAAACTCGCCTAATTCCACATTTATCGTAGAATCGAACACGTGACACCCGACACAGTAACGGACAGTAGTTCAAAACTCAACATTCAAGGTCCCGGATTCATTTATCACCAAATTACAAATAGGGAACTAACGCGATCTCTTCATGAGTCACACGGTTCAGCGTTAAACACAACTAAGTTCCTTCGTTCGATTCGAAACACCACGTCGCAATAAGAATTCAAAATTAACCTAGCTGACACGCAAACTGGCTACAGAGTCAACACACAAAGGGCTCTTAACGTGACGGTATAATTGATTTCCAAACAATCAACCGGGAGACGCCCTCGAACAAGACTCGGCGCGCGCGTGCAAAATTCCACGTCACCCGAGCAAGTTAAATATTGTAAAATGGACTTCAACACGCAATCGCTATATAATTGACGCAATTAATTTCAAACGAAATTACTTTTATCCGTCAAATACAATACAAGCCTCTTGTCACGGACTTAAACCCTAGACAAACTAAACAGAGGCGGTTTTCACGAAATCACAATTACGTAGCGAAGTCACGCGCACAAATTCTAAAAATCTAGACCGTAATCCCAAAATCGGTCTCGCGAAACTTCGGCAGCGGCAACCGAGGTATGCTAATTAACTGTACCGCTGCCGGCGAGCTACTGTCACCTACTGTCTTCAGCCAGCGCGTTGAGCGACTGCCCGACTCGACCCAGCGGCCGGTAGCAACTAACTCCCGCCAACCGCCCACTCGTCTAGCCGGTTATGAACGCGCCGCATCGAGCCGAGCGCCCTACGGCGTCAAATCTTGAAACCAGAGTTTGGGCGCGAACAATTATATTGTGGAGTATTAACCTCTAAGTACTGACATTTTAATGGACCAACTTAGACATGTGGTCAATCCAAAGAGTATAGTGGGTAAGGCTAAGGACATTTTTTTTTAAATGAAGGTAAACATAAGTCATTTTCCTAATTAATTATGATTTCTTATATTTACGGGAATACTACACATTGAATAAAACTATAATTACGGGTTTCATCGCTTTTAATTTACTTATTTTAATTCAACTTTACTTATTTCAATTCATTACAAGACAAGAAGCTTCAGGTCCCGCGCCTACGTCACAGTGACCGAGTGAAGCCGGCCACAGTCGAGCGTGTGCCTGCTGTACTACCCTACCCTATGGTAGAGGAGTCACAGACAATGTTGGCTAGATCTTGAAGCGAGCTTCCATTAAAACATACTTTAAGCCGCCGAAGCAGATTAGTCAATTTTTACTAAATAAATAAATTTTCGCCATCCGTCAAGTGTAAAATCCCTCTACAAGATGCAGGAGTGTACAAGCTTGGTTGCGAATGTGGTCTCAATTACATAAGACAAACAAAAAGATCCATTAAAACCCGCGTGTAAGAACATATAGCTGACGTAAGGGAACGACGCTCTGGGAAGTCTGCAGCGTGTGAACATGTTCAAGATCGTTCCCGCCATTACATCAGATTTGATAGATCATAAATCCTCGCAAAATAATACCGATTCCTACCAAGGATGATACGCGAGACTATTGAAATTAAAAAACATCCTAAATTCAATAGAGAAGGTGGATGGGTGCTGCCATCTGCTTGGGATCTTATAATTAAGAAAATTAAATTCAAAACCAAGCATACCACTGCAAGACTACAAGATACTGTAAGCTTTTTCTACGTAGATCCGACCAAAAATTGATATTCATTAACTGAAGGTTAGGATTAGATTAAGGTTAGGCTAATACTATGACATCAGGGCGTCAAACATCTGTGACCATGGGTTGCTGTAAAGCACCCGCAATGTCGGGAATTGAAATAAGTAAATTAAAACGCGATAAAATCCGTAAATATAGTTCTAATTAATTTTAGTATGTTCTTATCCAATGCTCGGGGAAACGCAGCCAGCGTTTTTGGCACGATACCGCGGGGAGTAGGACTATATTATAATTAAGTTTCTAGTTTTAGTTTTTTTATTATTATTATTATAGTTTTTAATATTGTATATAATAAAATGTGCAATTGAATTTTATGGTAAATTTACAATGCAGCATGCTAAAATTCAAAACATTTCCAGTAGAATTTGATGTTTGATAAAATTACGAAATTTGTATTGTAATATTGGTAAACGATGGGGGGAGTAGTGACGCTCACCCACGGAAGGGGAGGGGGAGTGGATAAAATTTAACTTTGATCTATAACGTACTATGACCAACGCTGTTTCTCCTGCATATCAATTATATGTTGCTAACTGGTAGCATTCTTTGCTATGCAGACGACATCACTGGTGATGCCTTATATTATACCGGCCGTGCCAATATTTCTCGGGAAAACGTCGCTGACTACCGGGACAAATTTGTGTCTGAAGTCGAGTCTTTGCTTAACAAAGTCTCGGATTGGGGCCGACTAAATCTAGTCCAGTTCAATCCCCAGAAGACACAAGTTTGTGCGTTTACCGCTAAAAAGAACCCCTTTGTCGTATCTCCTCAGTTTCAAGGCACTCACCTTGCTGCCTCAGCCAGTATCGGAATCCTTGGCGTCGACATATCGAATAGTGTGCAGTTTCGTGGTCACTTGGAAGGGAAGGCCAAATTGGCCTCTAAAAAGCTTGGCGTGCTCAGCAGAGCGAGACGGTATTTCACGCCGGCAGATCGCTTGCAACTTTACAAAGCGCAAGTTCGGCCCAACATGGAATACTGTTCTCATCTCTGGGCCGGGGCACCCCAGTGCCAT